AAATAAATAAAGTAAAACATGCAATGGTGGACAACATACCGGCAGACTGTTTAGAAGAGCTAGTATCATAGACACATGGAAAGCACATGTCAAAAGTTTTTCTATCAGATTTGGAAGATCTGCAGCAAAATCAATTGACCAGCGAGGTTGATATGAAGTCAAATGGACTGAATGTGCCATGGAGATCACTTCACCAATAAAAACAAGAGACTGAAGGCATCTTCTTTCTCTAATATTAGGATTCGTATTGTCGGGTAATATACTTTTTTGATGATTCTGGCATTCTGGAGAAGAAGGCCTTGAATAAGTGATCTCGACCCATGCTAGACCTGGATGCTCCACTGGAGAGAAGCAAGATTCAGCCTGTCCACAAGTAGAAGTGTCATAGGCTACATTATACACTGTATAGAGTGCAAGGCTACATTTGTAGACAATTGTGTCTCAATGTGCCAAAAGTAAATATTCTACCTCTGAACACAGGCAGCGATTACTACGTCTTGTAGCCTTTGCCGAACCATAGCCACATCTCTTAAGCGTAAGAATATCCTTAGCATTAAAACATTGAACAGTTTCTCTCATATTTTGATAACTATTTCCAGAGCTTCCATCCTCGGACTTACTTGGATCCAAACAGGACATAGATGCAAATGCAATAAGTTCCTTTGGACAAGTTGTTTGGTTCCCATTCAACTGAATGTTAGTGCTCTCTTCAATTAAAGAATGAGGAACACAATACCCTATTCTGCTTTTTCCTCTAAATTCACCAGAACTGTCCAACTCTTTGATGTTCTGCTTAGTCAGCAAAGCAATCATTTCCATCCACGCTTGAGCAGTATGGATGCGGATGCCATCCAGTGAATAAATTATATCTCGAGGTGACAAATAACCAGATAATGGTGACATGGGAGGCACATCCAAAACCTATTGCAATTTGACAAGTAAAGACTATTCAATTTAGCTGCTTAGCAAATGCATTAATTTAGGAGCATGGACACCTAATTGAATCTCACAATACTAGGAAATGTTAAAGCTCAAATACCATGGGACTTTCACCATGTATGTAGAATGGACTGAAGATGAAGGGAAGAAGGAACAAAGCCAAGGTACAAACTGCACAAAACTGCAGGTGATATTCAAGCAATTCAGCATTATAACATGCATCAGCACATAATGTGACAATTAAATGTTATTGCATTCTAGAATACAAAGAAAAATAATTGATATGAGCACTCACTACTGCATTATGCCAAATTCCAGCACAGTATATGCGAAGGGCAGCCGCCCCAGGTAATGCTTCCAAAGAAGCATGATTGAAAGCCACAAGAGCTCCTGGGAAAGATACAGCCAAAAAGACAGCAACATACTCCATAGGTATACCCTCACTGCTTCCCACAAAAGGCGTGCCTACAATAATCATGTGAGATCCATCCTCCAAACAAACACTTGTGCACACAGTGCTCGCTACAAAGTAAGATGATATTTAAAAACTACTAGTGAAAATTGTACATTACCAAAAATTAATGCATGAACATTACAAAATATATACATTCAAATCGGCTCAATAAGGGAGATAGACTCAAATCGAGTTACGCCTTCTCAGCTTACCAAAAATGAATGCATGAACATTGTAAAATATATACATTCGAATCAGCAAAAATGAATACATGAATATTGTAAAACATATACCTTCACATAAATTTTAGTTTGTAAAGCATACTTTGTTTTCAATTATGCATCTAGCTGCTATTGTTCCCAAGAAATTATCATATTTTTGAATTATGAGTCAGTATAGAAACATGCATGTAAATTTCATAACACTGAACAGTATAAATTTTGACTATTTAGACTACATGTAAGTTCTAGTTGTGCTACCATTTAAGTGGTTCAGTAGAAACCTGCTGTCAACCAGTATCCATCCTCTCAAAGATTAAACCTTCCTAATTCCTGTTCATACTGTAACCTCTATATGCACAAAAGGAATCCCGAAAGAAATTCTCACCTTTTTCCCATGTCTAGGAACACAACCATGTTAAAAGAAATAGAAACATCCAACACAGCATTTATAGCTCACAATTCATAGTATCATATTCACTAAGACGATGATGGTATGTAGATATTGCTAGTTCTAGGTTTATTTTGTTCTTTAAGAACAAAAGAAAATTATATGTTGACAATGAGGTAGTGATGGCGACTGCATTGGAAGAAGCAGAACTATTCATGAAGGAGAAGACATAAAAGGAGAAATTTTGGGTGCGTGCAATAGGTGAAAGAGAGAGAGTCTTAACCTTGCAGCAGCAAGAGCATGACCGAGCTCATGGACGAAAACAGATATGACAGAAGATATACAGACGTATCCAATACTGGGGAGTGACATGTTCAGTCCTGATATCTGCACGAGCCTTATGTAAGAAAATTGGCATTAAACTGTATAGGGTCTGCGACAATAAGTGAGTGCTCGGATTACATTGGTGATTTAATTGCTACTAATCTCATGATATATTGAAGTACTCTTGAGGTTGCTCACTAAGGTGAGTTACCATTTCTTGCCTCAACTATTCAACTCTTATCATCAAGCTACTAAAAAATACCAGCTTAAAGATTACATAAATTCCATGTATATGGTATTGTCTATCAAGAGATGTGTCATTCTAAGATCCTGTATCATAATAGCTCATGAACTTTCGCAATAAAGCAAGGAGCTACATGAGCAAGGAAAACTGCTATTTCCCTCCAACCAAAATTGCACATGGAAAATCAAGACACAATAGTTTTAGATTACTTCTTACACAAAAGCAGAATTACCCCCACCAGTCATCTAGATATTGTCGTTCTTCTGGTTAAAAGTTTGTTGACATAGGGATGTATGCTAACCAAAGGGGAAAGGCTGAATGAAGTATTTCCAAGCTGTGCATTCCCTGTGTAAGCAAGTAGAGCTCGAGCCAATTCCCAGAGAAGAATCTGAAGTACCGCACTAAATTAGTAATGATCAAGAAAGGGAAAGACACTAAAAGAAACCAATTTTCCTTTTATTTATTAAATAAAATTTGTAGAATGATGATGAAACGACAGACCACTGTACTTCCGACAATAGCTGCCAGACTAAAACCGATTCCCATGGCGAACCAGACTCTCAAATACCTATAAGAAACGTCGTTTTTCGATTACCATTGTTTTAGAATAAAAATAAAAGGGTTAATTAAGAAAAAGAAAAACAGCCAAACCTTGAGTGCCGGCGACCGAAACGGAACAGAGGTTCATTGAGGGCCAAAAACTTCAAATCGCAATACCTGTACAATTCATAAAAATAACGAATAACTGATTCCGATTAAACTAGTAAACGAAGTGAATTTTTTTTT